GTGTGTGTGTGCAAGGGTGTGTGTGTATTTTGGCCCGATCTAAACTACGTGACACAGCAACCACAGTTTAAAAAACTCTTGAAGCACAAAGAGGATGTGTAAGTTAATTCAGTTTGTTTTATGACTGATAGACTCCATGTTTTCACTGTGGGTGAGGAGAAGGCAGCTTCTACCACAGCTACCATCAACAATGCTATGGCTAACTCCTGAACCTCTGCAGGGCGTGTCTTCACCGAGAGGCTTATATACTGAACACTGTGCTGTGAGACGTCACACAGTACCAGCAACGTCACATGGTACTTTTTGAACGAATAACGAAATTCAAATGTAGTAGCCATAGTTAAACCCATAGAGAGCAGCACAAAGACGTTTTTAGACACAATATTGTACATTTAAACAATTTTAGCCCAAAATGTTGAAGTTTAGTCATAGATAGAAAGGTATTACCCTTAGGGCACAGTTTAGACAGTTTATCTGCAAAAAAAAAGTTGATTTTGGGGTAAGTTCCTCTTTAAACCATTTAAGCATCTTAGTCTGTATAATTAGTCAGCAGTTTGGGTGTAACAGTACGTTGATCCACATCGATATATCAACTAAATGATTAATGATTCAATTACATCAAGGCAAAATGAAAATATCAACCCATATCATAATCATCCACCCAATGTGGAATGATATTACAATCTGAAAGTCATTTGTGTTAGATGACCATGTGATACTGCATCATATCAACCACAAGCTTGTGAACTGTAGTGGATCAAAATCATATGACAGACATTTTGATATTGAGAAACACTGTCATCATACAGACAAATCAATATATTGTATTGTGATAAAGCTGGTGGTTTACACCCCTAGTCAGAAGGCAAATCAACAGTAACATTCCCTTGCAACAGTTGATCAAAATGATCCTGAATGGTTAGTCATTTATGTTGACTTGTTGAATGAATGACAGCCCCTTCTGCTATGATCAGTACAACATTATCTGATTTGATGCAACAAATAATGTGAAACATGTTTGCTAGTTTTCCTCTGGGAGCAACTGCATCTTAAAACTAATTGGTTGCAAAGAGTCTCAGCGTCTCTTTTCTGCCTTAGTCTCTTTTCTTTAGTAGGGATTTGGGAGCAATCAGCAGCAGAAGCTATAGAGGAGCATACAGGATTTATTATTGGAAATAGGAAGCACGCTTTGTTGTTGTTTATGCCAGCCTAAGATAGTGTGTTCCAGAGAGGGACTGTATTCAGATGGTAATTTTCTGAGTCCTTTATGCTGCTAAAAAGTCTCTGATAACGCATTGATAGTTTGCTCAAGTAAGAAATTATTATTCAGACCGTTGCCACTGCAATTGGAACATCCTGTTAATGTGCTTTTTATTGGACCATTTTTAGTGTCATTTTTCCTTTTTTGCACAAAAATCTTAGAACCATACCCATGCTCAAAGTGTTGCTGTTTGTGCTGAGCTTGTTTGATGCCCCCCAGTAACAGATGCAACCACTGATACTAAGTGGATGTTGCAGTTGGTAATGACTCATGATATGGTCGAGAGGAAGCTTTGAGAAGGAATGTAGCAAAATAAGCAACCAGGCCCTAAGCCTTGGAAAACATACTCAACCTTAATCCTTTCCAGAAAAATACAAAGC